AAAACCTTTATTTTTGCGGGGGGGGGAAGGTATTACCATTTCCCACATTTTGCTGGGCTGCTACCTCTTGTAGGTTGCAATATAAAGAAGTACTTCTATTGTCATTTATAGGAAACAAAGGGCGAAAATCGGTTAGGAAATCTGAGCCCCCACTAAGAGAATGCTGGGCGCCTCCCTTTTGTTTTGAATTTTATATGAGCAATTTTTGACAGGTACATTAAAGCAATGCACGCGTAGTGTAATCACAGATGTACCTGTCTATGCTAGCTTCTGAAGCACACCCCAGTGGGGTTTGTTAAAACAGTTAAAACTGGAGAGTTTGTGATTCAGCGGGCTTTGTCTTAGCATATGATATGAACCAGGCTGTCACATTAACCATTAAAATAGTTGATTTGTTTAGGCACAGCGTGTTATGTGAACACAGCCAAGGTGTTTTGTTAACCCAGGCTCAGTGTGCTGCTTGCACCCAGCCCCTCCTCTTCTTCCCTCGAGGATTTCAGCATAGATATTTTTCCTGCAATTCTCTGCCTTTTTGTCACATACCTCATGAACCACCTTGCACTTGATGCCAGTTCATCATCACCTTCCACATTCAATCCACATTGATTCAGGACCCATTCACCCATTCTTTTTTACATATATAGTAATTTTATTAAACATTACAATTAAAAAGCTAAAAATTAATACAGACTAAAAAAGAAAAGAATAAAAAGAAAATGCAGAAAAGAAAAAAATAGAAGAGAAAAAATAAGAACATAGTAACAAAAAGACATCTTTAAAGAAATGACTTCCCCTTCATCACAAGTATAAACAATTTTAGTAACTTATCGTCTTCTCTTAAAATATTGAAAATATCCTTCAATTGTGATGGCGGAGCCATCTTCAGTTCACTATTTCTTCCCCAGAAGTCCCAGGATCCATTCATTCTTGAGCCTATTCTTGTTTTAGCAGACTATACTTAAATACCCAACTTACTGTGAGTTTCCTCCTGACATACCCAACTCTTATTCCATATAACAAGCATCACTCTTCTACACCATATAAGCATCACTCTTCTACATAGATATTTTCACTTCTTTCACGTTTCTCTATATTTTCTCTTATCCTTTAGACCCTACGGTTATTTTTTAATCTGGTTTTTGTTCCTCCAAGATGAGTTAATTCTCAACAAGCTATTATTGACACACTGAAACTGAACAGTTAAGATATTGATTAACATTCTATGGTGTCACAACAGCTCAGCCAATGGGGCATTTGGATCACAGACATGATACAAATATGGCATGTAATGGCACTGAAGTCAGGCACCCGAACTGAAACCAATGCTGACAGATAATTAAGGTTTGCAGCAAAAACTGAATCAAATGTATTACTACAAAAGATACTTTGGGATCAGTACTGGAAACTTATGCAAAACAATATAATTTATAAGAAACAGGAAAAAATCAACTCCAGATCTGGGAACAAGACAGAACTTTAAAAGTTCCCAGACAACTAAAAGATAAGCCCCTTTAGTGAGATTGAAGTAATTCTCACTAAATATAGAGGCTTTTTGCAAACAGATGTACTTATAGTTTTGCTCTAAGATACTTACTGTTGATTGCTGCAAACTGGTTTAATCCACAATGGATGTGGGCCACAAAGATGTCAGGGTTGAAGTCTGACAAGCCAAAAAGGGAAGGTGGGATCATCTCAGGAGTGGCTGTTTCCATAAGATTTGGTCCTTTCCCAAGAATTCCATAGCCCCACACAAAAACATGGCCTTCCTCTAGATTATTAGAAATAAAAATAGGCAAGATTACAACAGCTGGCTTCACACAAGACATGAGCCTATACAGAAATGGGATGGGTGGGCAGACCATGGTTCAAGTGTTGCAGAAACACAGCCCTTGTGTTAACACATAGCGTGAGCAAGGCCACCATAATAAGCCTCATCATGATTGATAGTTTATGAACAGCATGGCATCTAAACACTAGGGCTGTGCAACAGGTTCTTCCCAGGGATTGCACGACAACTACTGAAGTGACTCCACAATCTCAGGAAAACTCAATTTACCCAGGATATAAGTTGCCTCTATTTATTCTCTCGTTTGAATTCTCTACTTTCTCCATTCCCCCCAAAGTTGTCACCTAGAAGTCGTTATCAAGAACAAAAAGACTGTAGGAACACTTCCACAATCAAGCTGCCCACAAATGAGCACCAACCAGCAAGACTTAGTATTCACTGTCTTAGTAAGTCTGTTTGGTTTGCTTTAATTCCAAGTATATTTATGTATTGGCTTAGATCAATGTTTCTCAACCTCAGCAACTTTAAGATGTGTGGACGGCTGGGGAATTCTGGGAGTTGAAATCCACATATCTTAAAGTTACTGGCTTAGATTGTTTTAAGCCATTTTTAGGACCATGCCCTCCAAAGTAGCAGACAAACCAGAAAACAGTCAGCTAACATAACCAGCACACATGATGCTTTGCAAAGGTGCTTTGAACTCACAGGTAGATCATCCACTTACTGAAAAACAGCCTTTTGCTCTCATTAGCCTCGGCCAGCACAGCCCACAGTAAAGAACTGCAACTTACAATATTGCTCACTTCTACTTATTCTGGTTTAGGGGGGAAAAATGATCCTTGCAAAGAGACTCACCAGTTAAGATGGCATTGCCAGTTCCACCACAGGAAGCTTCCTTCACTCTCCCAATATTGAAGGGCAGATGTCTGGGCACATTGACCTGCAACAGGCAGAGGTTTGGAACATGACAATGTCTGTTATTTTAGGACTTTCAAAAGAAGAGCTTTATGTACTGGTCAATGACCATAAATAAACTGTATTGAACTGAACTGAAAAAAAGCATTATAGTCTCCTTTACAAAGACAAATCCAAAGCTTGTCCAGTTTAACATCTATGAAATTTCATTTACACACACACACCAAGGTTGAGCACTGTGCCATTCTGAGCTCTGCAAAGATGAAGTAGGTTTAGCATTCAAGAGTCTGGAACTCTAATTCTCTTTTCTCTTCCCCATTTATAGAGCAAAGATGGTGAACCCGTGGCTCTCCAGATATGGCAGAATGATACTTTCCAGCCACACTAGCTGAGGCTATTGGGAATGGTAGTTCAACAACACCTGGAGAACCACGCCCCTGATTTAAAGCCAGTCCTGAAATAGTGTGTGGTCAATAGCTACCAATATTAGTAACCCCACCAAGTAAACCAGCAGGTCAAGATACCATGGGTTTCCCACTAATCAGGTTCTGGTCTCCTATATTAGCAGAGACTCTCCTTTCCACCTTAAGCATTGCAAGCTGGGCCTGGCAAACTGTTTGGAGGGAATCCCTTGGCTGCAATCTCAGCATCCCACAACAGCTGTATCCAGAGGACTGATCCTAGGTCACTACAGAGAGCCACAGAAATAGAGAAACTATGGAGAGTCAACCATTACAAAAACAAAAACATGCTTTCAGCCCAGAAAACAGAGGAAATGTGAGACAGAAGCTTAAACTGGCTGCACCTGAATCCACTAGAGCATGCTGGCCAGGGAATTCTGGGCGTTGAAGTCCAAATGGCTTAAAGTTGCTGAGGTTGAGAAACAGTGCATCAGAGTATAAGAGAGAGGGAATGGAAAACTCAGGGTTTCAAGATTCCGTTCTTGTAACCTACATCAATAAAGTAGGGTTCCATCAAACTTGTGGAATCTGTTTTGTGGCTGGTCTGGCCTACCTCAAAGGGCTGACAGTCACAAAGTCGTATACAGCCACCACCTCTATTTGAGCCTGGGGTAAAGCAATATGTCTCCAGCGTGAGGATGTTGCTTTAGGCATCTCCAGAAATAGACACCTCTGATTTCTTCTTACTATACCTCCAGCCTCACGGATCGCTGATCTTTGGTAGATGCCTGGAAAGTTATGTTGTGCGTGGTATGGATCTCAGCTTATGGAGCATTAGGACCAGCGTCCTCTTTCTACCTAATGCAGAAGTCCAGAACTTGAGTCCCTGACCTCCAAAAACCTTGGATCAGGCCTCCAAGAGCCCTTCTCCAGGTTACCAGGAAATCTGCATTTTTAATGCGATCAAACTGAAAAATGATATTCACTGTTTTTAATTCATGTAATTCTATAACTATCCTGGCATTTCAATGAAATGAAATTCCATTTTTCTCCCACGCCCATCCATCTTTCAATCTTAGCCATGCCTAGTTTTGGAAAAAGCATGCTACCCATGGGATGAATGCATGCTTGATCCCTTCAAAAACTGTAGCCCCCACCCCCACCAATCCAGCCTCCCTTCCTGTGAAACAAAAGGCCTGCCAGGTCATGCAAGTGGAACCATTCTAACCTGGGTTGTCTCAGTAACAGAAGCTAGCTGTAGATATTCCGAGTTTCCCCAGCCAAAGAGCTCACCAGTCTCAGACACAGCAAGGCAAGAATCTCCATAGGTTGTGACCTGTGTAATGCGGACACCAGCAATGTCTCCACCCAGTTTTGTGGGAACACTAACTATGTTGTAATGGCCTAGGCCTAGTTGGGAGAGAAAGAGAAGGAAACTCAGTGTGCTATATATACACTAATAGCAAATCAACCTGTTAATAATTACATACTGCTGTTCCTCAAGCATAGAGGACTCCACCCCGCCAGTTTTATCTTCACAGCAATTCTGCAAAGTAGGCTAGGCTGAGCAATCTGGGCTAATCTAATGTCACCTTGTGAGCTTTTCCCTAGTCCTCGTCCAACACTATTGGTCCCACGCCTCAGGAGCTGGCACTAGGGGCAATTCATTTTATAAACTGCCTTTCAATTCTACTGAAAGAGAAGTGGGAGGATCTGCAGGGTGTGGTCCACAAAGTCAAGATGGCGGCACCACACACAAAACATAGGCAGAGTTTTGATGGCAGCTTTGCAGACACCATCTTGACTTTGTGGACCACATCCTGAGGACACTCCTGAGAAGGAGATAAAGGAGCAAGAAAATTTGTTCACTTCTACACACATGGACAAACAGACAGAGGCAAATGCATGCATAATCCATTAATTATTCAGGGCTTCATACTTTTCATTACTGATAAATAATGTTTAAGGCGAAGTTAATGGCTGCATCAAGTTATGAAAATCACCAGCAATGTTGTTGGCCTCCTATATAATCCAATCTAGCTCAAAATGGCATTAATCTCAATCATCAGAAGGAAGAAAAGTGAGACAGAGACAGAAGCTCTTCTATAAACTACAGTTTGATAACCTCTGGTCCAATTCATCCATGTCTCTAAAGATATCCTTCCTTCCTTCCTTCCTTCCTTCCTTCCTTCCTTCCTTCCTT